TACAGATGTTACATATTTATGGAAATAGTGTACCTGAAGAAAGATTACTAGGTAATTACTCTAGGGCAACCTTTAACACTGATTTAAGACATACTATATATTTTATTTACACTCATAACCATGTATAACTACAACCATCTGGCACTTAGGTAAGGCGAAGCTTAACACAGGGTAGCCGGGCCTTCACTCACTACTGAGTTGAACAAAACGTTTAATGTTTTATGAAACAATTTCCATCCTACCTGCATGAACCATAGTAACCCAAGGTGCCTTCCTGAGAAAATTACCAGGTACAAAATTTAGGCAAAGGGTGTAGAAGAGTTTCTTTGATCTAGCACTTTCTTTTCAACCTACTTACTTGATAATTACACCATTCTAGGAGGAGAGAGTAGAATACAGGTCCTTCTCCTCTTGCACAAGTAGGCTAATCACAAAGATCTGTCTTCTTCTGGCACCTTTACTCCAACCTAAATCGCTCAGTTCCAACAGGAGAGTTTTTTGAGAGATACTACCCTTCTCTTCCCAGTTGTTTTACAGGTTAGAGTGCCTTAGGTATAGGTATATAGTTCCTAGGTATATAGATCTGAATCCTTACAGGCCAAGGTACATGTAAAGCCCAGGTCTTCAGCAACTGTTCGATGGTGGGCAAAACTTAGGCATCACCTATTCCAGGATTATCTGCAGCAATGAAACCTAGGTCTATCTGTTACAGCCAAGGCTTATCTTTGGATTTRCACAAAACTGGGACAACTATTCAATTCTGTTGTATAAAGGTAAATCAGAATAACTGCCTGTTTACATARCCAGGATACATCAGGCATGCAGAGCAGACAGGTAAGCTTAAACATTAATATTGAGTGAACTCCAGAAYTACAGCACAGCCTTTCTAGTGTTGTTTCATTTTTTTTAAAACTGTTCCCCTTTTTTTGACTATGAATGCAAGGCCCTTTACTTATTTGAACAATGCACTATTGAGAAGTCACCTGACAGCTTAATAACACAGGCAAAGCAAAGGTTTTTAAACAACAGTTTTAAGAGGCAGTCAAATGCATCACAATCTTGACACAGTTGATGCTCTTAAGCTTTTTAGTCTGGCTCTACATCTTGCTCTGTTCATGTGCTAATCACCTTCAGTGATCATGAAGGCTGGACATCCATCTGGCAGTGGCAACATCTGACTGCTGTAACCCAGCTGCAGTGTCTTATCTACCAGGGCTGGTCTGCTACAGATTGACAAATGGACAGAGAGTGGTCTTTTTCCTTAAATGGAAATTAATATCCCTAATGGGTAATTAAAGAATCATTCTTTTTTCGGAAAATGTGCCACCTTCTTGTTATAGACAGCATTTGTAGAAAGTTGAGGATTTCCAGGTGTTGTTGCCTATGACTTGGTCAAGTGTCCCTGTTGACATTTAAAAGGGATAACAATAAGCTTGAAGACACAACCATCATAAACAGTGGAAACAACAGCCAAAACTAACTGAAAGAGCCTATTTCCCAGTAGTTATCAACCTTCAGCTCTCCTATCTCTCAAGCTGCTATCAGATATGAATGTCATAGCAGTAATTGAGTTTGCTTTTTATGATCAGTGCAAAGCCTTCACTGTAATTCACAGAGACTGCTGCTGGCATTATCATAGTTTTCTTTTATTTCAAGATTAGATTAACGCAATAAAACCTCCACACCTTAAAAGAGAAACTACTGGAGAATACTGCATCTTACCTGGTACAAGAAGGGCTACCTAGATGAAAGCACAGGAGTTAAACGTCTGGATATCTGCTTGTGTCCACACAGAATTTAGGCTTTTGGGCTGCCATCCACAGAACTGTATTTAGGACCTGATCACACACACACACACACACACACAAAAAAAAAAGTTTCACGAGGAAACAACCAAATCCAGTGCAGTGCAATGGTATTTCTCACTCCTCTGCAGACGAGTCTTCATGGGAGCTCTAAGTTCTACCTTCTCACAACCCTTTAATCAGAACCACTTCAACTTCCACGCACTCTTAAAGTCCCCATTCTGGGACATGGAAGAACAGAAATGAAGAAGCAGGCAGGAATATGAGAAGGAATACTCAGAGAGTCTTTCAGGTAACTTTGTTTTTATTTTATACATGATAAAGTAGATAAGCAAATCCAAGCAACATCTTAAAACTAATGGTGAACTATATAGTACACTTACTGCCACAGCATTTAGCCCCTCTGAATGTATTTTTCCACTGAATCAAATACTCCATTTTTCCACAAGTATCTTAAGACTGTGTATGAGAATTTTTCCTAGGTCATTTAAGCCTAATTATATTGGCAGCTTCTGCACATAAATTTGACTCAACCTTTGCAGTGTTTAGGCTGAGAAAACAAGTCAGATTAATATAAACTAGAGCTTGAGTTTTGCAATGCAGTAGCTATTCCTCAGTGATTGCTAGTGTGCACAATCTTCTTGCCCAATGGACAAATATAAAATAGCTCAGCTGCTTTGTTCCTATTGGTATTCAGGACAACTGGCAATTACTGTAAAATAACTTGAGCTGGCATTTCTTACCTTAAATTATGTGCTTGTTTTGTCTACTCATATTCAAACCCTGGATGTACGGAATGGGCAGGTAGCAATAATGAAATGGAATGGAAGCAGCTGCACCAAACCTGCTGGAAAAAGCCTCCACCTGCTATTTTTACCATGAGAACTGTCAGCCCACAACAACTATTCCAATATTATTTAAGCCCATCTCATTTTAAGATGAAAGATGATATTACTGCTGGCCCAGTAATATCTTTAATCAAATTGAAGGATTTAATAATTAGTTTTCTTAGGGTTATAAATAGCTTTTACTTACTGGATTAAAAATACACAAATGAACAGCTATGAGAAAGTGCCTCTTCTCTCAGACTGATCTGCGGCAAACAGACAAGGATGATGGTTTTGTGTAGGTCTGTACACCTCTAACCAGGCACAGTTTTAAAGCCAGGCTGGAGGGGAGAGTAACTGCATCCTTGTTAYGGAGCCCCCATTACTCTTCCCAGGAAGGGCAACAGCCCTGGTAACAGGTACGTGCTTTTACTGAGATTATGAGAGGCGTATTTCTTAAGAGGTGGAACCAATAAATATCCCTTATCTCATAAAAGCAAATAAAATTTACTTAGTGTAAACAAACAAAAATCTCTTGCTCAAACACAGTTTTAAATGTTTACATGAGAAAAACCCCAGCGTGCAGAAGAAAGAATTCAGTAATCCAGGTAGGTTTACTAGTATGAGGACTACCTTATATCAATTTTTGTCAGCGAGTATCTTGGAAGAGTGGGATAACAGTGCTTGGAAATTCCCAATAAACCGCACACTTGCCAGCRAGACAATGGGCTAGGGCTTCTTTTTGCTTTCCGAACATCACGATGGACTTGGATTTTCCCCGTTGGTTTCTTCCAACGCCCTGCGGTACATTCGGCATCATTCCCGCACCCCGCACAGGCTCCAAACGGCCCCTAGATTCAAACGCTCCTACAACGGCCAGCGGCCGCGTATCCGCGCTCCCTCCGCGGAGCCGGCCGCGCGGCGGGGCGCGCGAACGTTACCTCGTGGCTGCAGCCAAACGAACTAAGCGGGAGACAGCGAGATCCTACCCACAGATGGGGAATAACATCCTTCTCCCACCGTCCCTGCCGAGGCGCTCCAACGGCACCGAGCGCTTCCCAAGGCGCCCAGGGGAGCGGGCACCGGCGGGAGCGCCCGGGTCGCGCCTCCCCGCCCCCGCACCCCTCCGAGGAGCCCCAGGGGACCCCGCCGGGCCCCGCTCCCACCGGCACAGCCGCCCGTACCTCGCCCCGCGCGCCGCCTCCTCCGGCCCCGCGGCCGCTTTAAGGCTCCGAAGCGGCTCCTCGCGCCGCGCCGCCGCGCGCGCCGCCCACCGCCTGCTACGCATGCGCGGCGCAGCCTGCTCCCCCTCCCCGCCACGCTCTGTGAGCGCGCGGAACGGGCGCCGCGTTGTGAGCGGCAGGGCGCATGCGCGAATCCCCCCCCCCCCGGCCCGGCGCGCACGTGACCCGCGGAGTAACCGC